CGACGACCTCGTTTTACTCGACACTCAAAACCTCCGCCTGCCCATCTCTCCCAAACTCCGCCCTCGATACTGTGGGCCATTTCGAATTAGCCATATGATAACACCTGTCACCACGCACCTCCTCCTCCTCTCTGCTGGCTGGTACGTCAGCCCTCGTTCCACGTCAGCCTGCTTCGCCCCTACGTACCAACCACCAGCAAACCACGAAATCGACCAGCCAGCATGGCACGACCGCCAACCGAGCCAATCATCACCCCGACAAAATCCTGAGCCACAGAGTTCGCGACCTTCGAGGAGCCCGAAAGATCGAGTTCCTGATCCGCTGGAAAGACCGTACACCCACCGAGGACAACTGGGTTCCCCTGGATAGAATCGAAAACCACCCAGTTCTCACCGAGTATCTACGCAGCCGAAACTTCAGGGACGTCCACGCACTGTCGTAAGGAGGACCTCCTTAGGAGGGGGGGTAGTGTAAGGAAAATCACTTTTCCTTACTTCGCATCCCTGCTCAACGCGTACATCACCGTAGCACCTCAGTCAGCACCGTTACCACTCGCGATCCTCGCATCGACAATCACCTTGCCATTTTCGCACATCGCACCCCGACCTCACGGCTCGGCTGGTAACCCGCGCTCCGGGCCTCCGCTTCGACACTTTCCCAACCTCAGTCCCAGGCTCGTCGCGCGACAACCACAGTCCATTACCGTTACCACTGTAGTTTCGCTATATAGTCTTCGCTCATGCCTTCGCTCATTGTATTCTTGCTTCGATAGTGCAATTCTCGTTCGTTCACTCAATTGCACTCGTGACACCGATGCACTAGAGATGTTATTTCGTTTGATCTTTCGAATGGCGTACACTCCGCTCTGTAAATTTAATCTCAGCATGCTTTCCTCGAACGATTGTTCGCGAGGGTCTTGGGAGCATTCCGACGCTCGTAAGCGACGGCGATTGGCCGGCTCCATTTCGGGTAGCACAGAGATGGCTTCGCCTGTCGCTCCGAAACCGGCTCCCATTGGCCGAATCCGTTTCGGCCAGCCCGAATTGCCATTCGCACGCGCGGATTTGCATGCGAAATGCTTCGCGAGGGTTCTCCGAGGGACAGACCACTCGGAAACGGCTCCGATTGGCCGGGTCCGTCTCGGCGCGCTGGGGTTCGGCCCTCGCCTTCGGATTGGAGAGCGATGGTTTTCGCGAGCCAGGGCTGGGCCTGGGGAGGGCCGGGGTTGGGACCACGCTGGTGGCCCGGATCTCACTAGGGACCTGGGAGGGGGCGGGGGACTCCCTCTCGCGTGGCGATTCCCAGCTGGGGGCCGCGACAGCCCTTGCATCCGCGTGCGGCCCTGGTGGGAACCCGTTTCCACCAGGAGGGGGCTCTGGTGGGATTCGACCCACCAGGGCCCGGATGGACTGCCAGGAGCAGCGTGCTACACGAGGCCCTGGAGCAGCGTGCCCGGATGTAGCTGTAATGGATGCGAATCTCTCCAGCACAGCGATGCCAAAGGAACCATCCCAAGTGGGCAGGAGATAAGAAGTTGCCTTGGGACTGTGCTGACGACAACTGAGCGACCGAAAATCACCGCTCAATTCCGCGCCAGAATCCAGCAGTAACTAACACGCTGGCAGGAGCAAAGAAATCTACTGCGCCAATGAAATCGATCGTCCCCAGTGGGGTCACCCCACATCAGCATTGAATACACATGATGCCTGTTTGAGCCCCTCCCGGTTGCCTTGTGAAGGGGGCGTATAAGCTGTAACGAGGCAGTTCGCTTAAGTTCGTCAATTCGCACCTAGCTAAAAAGAATTAGCATGTGCTTATAAACAAGACCCTGCTACCTAGTTACCTAGTTTGACTTCAGTCTCTTCTGCTTGATTTCGGTCTCTTCTGCTTGACGCGCTTGTAATGTAGGTGCATGAAGCTGGGGAAACAACCTCGGGTGCAGCGTATCCATCCGGCGCAAGGCAAATTCGCGCGCATGGGGTGAGCATCAGGTGTATGCACTTTGGTAATGACAAACGAGCGACCCTTCAGTGTAAGTTGAATAGTGACACGCTGCCATAAGCAGGGTGCCATACTGTACCGTATCCGCCACATCCGCCATGCTGTATTCTCCACGCAATTGTTCTGTCTTTACACTGTTTCCCGTTCCTTCAGGAGCTCAACAGTCGGTGTGTGGTAGGTGGCGGTTCAAAGCAACGAAGTGAAGTGTTTCACTTTTACACCCTGTTTCTCACTACACTGAACTGTGCTGAACTGATGGAAAACCTAGTTACCTTCGATTTGTCTGATTGAACCATACCTAGACTTAATCTAACCACCGTTAACCGTGCTTTTCCCATCTTGACTTCACTATAACCGAATTCACAATGGCGAGAAAGAGGGTGTATAAATATTTCTTTTCAGTCTCCGTGTTTACTCGATGCACAGAATGAACTGAATGTGATACTGTAAGGAAATTCCCTTTTCCTTACTTCGCGTCCCTGCTCAACGCGTACATCACTGTAGCACCTCAGTCAGCACCGTTACCACTCGCGCGACCATCGCATCATTCATCATCCCGCCCTTTTCGCACATCGCATCCCGACCTCACGGCTCGGCTGGTAACCCGCGCTCGGGCCTACGCTTCGACACTTTCCCAACCTCAGTCCCAGGCTCGTCGCGCGCGACAACCACAGTCCATTACCGTTACCACTATTGCTTCGCTATATAATCCTTCGCTCATGCCTTCGCTCATTTGTACTCCTGCTTCGATAGTGCAATTCTCGTTCGTTCACTCAATTGCACTCGTAACACTTGGTATTCAGAGCCTACGATCTCATCTCGGACCGCATCCACACCTTCGCTTCCCCACTATCTCAATTTTTGGGGGGGGTAGACGTCTCTCAGCGATACAGCACCGCCGCTCGTAGTGCTCTCTCGGAAGCACGCACGGCCACGACTGAGGCTCTCGCTGAGCTTGCCCGACACCCCTGCCATGGCTGATTTCACTATCGCCACGTTGACGCAGGAGCAACTCGATCGTCTCGTGCGACAGCTGGAGGAATCAGCGCTCGAAATCGCGACGCTCACGGCGGAACGTGACTCCGCCCGTCAACAGTCAACGGTGAACGCTCCGACAACTTCCCAAGCGCCAACCAATGTTTTTGTCCATTCGGAGGAGCCGATTGTTATCTCATCCGGCACACCAACGCAAAACAACAGCACGGGACAGCGCTCAGGCGCAGCCAGTGACGGCGCAGCCCAACCGATGCCCGGCATGGGAGGGAACAGGAATGCATCAAGCCCACGGGAGCCCGAGAAGCCCGTCGGCACGTGGAGTTTGCGATGACAAGTGGAGGGAACGCCACGATGGCCCCATGCCACTCAAGCCGCAACGCCCGCCCTGCTTCGACCCAAGCCAACGCGGTGGCCCGACAGTTCAATCGTGGGTCTTCACGATGAACGTGTTTTTCGACGCCAACTACGTCGAGTCGGACGCCGCCAAGATTCGGTATGCAGTTTCACTACTCAGGGGCCCCGCCATGGACTGGTGGCGAGTCATCGTGACATCGCCACGCGCCTACGAGCCACCGCCGCACGAGGAAGGGCCCTCGGGTCCAGCTGTCACCTGGAGTTCGTTCTGCGAAACAGCCCAATATAGCACGTGGGATGCGTGGTGCGCAGGGCTTCGGGCGCGTTTGGACTCTAGCAGGTAAACCTAAGTACATGTTCGCCTGCGGATTTCTCGTCAAGTCATTCGGATTTCCCGCTTGGTTTCGTTGAGACATTCCGCGTCAAGTTCTGAACGGAACGTTGGAGAGGTGAGAAACGGTTTGAAGCGGTGAACTGACAGAACCGCTCAAAAGCTTACAATACCGTGCTGGAACGCGGAATATCGAACAGAAAGCAAGCAGTTGCACCACGCTTAAGAAAATATCAGGGGAAATAGTGATCATGGAATGCTGACATGCATTGTGTGAAGAAAATATCAGGGCAGTCAGCAGCAAGGACATGGAGAGTGTCCATACTAAGAAAGAGGAAATTGTGTTCATAGAAAACAAGTGAAGGAATCAGTCAAGGAGTCAACGAACTCCTGAATTACGTAAACGACAGAATTTCTCTTACGATTCACGGCCACTCAAAGGCGCTTGCCGAATCGCTCGTCGATGGTTACGCTTCTCCCGCATCGGCACTTCCGCGTTTTGTTCTTCCGCAGAAGTTACTGGTTTCTTTGGAATATCGTGTAACCATTATCGTAAAATAACGTACCTGTCGCGTTTAGCTATGGCAGCGGCTGCGGTGCTGCCAGCACCCACGCAGTGCAAAGCGGCTCGAGCCGTGGTGGCGGTAATGGAAGCGTACCGCGACGCGCGCGTGCAGTTCGTCATGAAAGTTGGCGAACTCGCGGTTTCGCCTCAGGTGCACCTTAATCTCAGTGTCTCTCAGCATCCGAGCTTCGATCTGCGAATTCATGGCGTATTCATGGCGAATTTCAGGCGAATTCATGGCGATTTCATGGCAAATTCGTGTCGAATTCATGGCGAATTCATGGTGCTGCTGGGTGAGGTTCATTCTTTGCGTGTCGCCAGCTCTATTGACTTCGAATGCGCTGTCCGCCCGCGTTTCTTCCCCGGCAGAACGCGGAGGCGCTGCTGTCGCTTGGCGCGCTGCAGCTGTTGCTGCCGCTCGCGCAGGACAGCATGGCGTCCGTGCGATCCGCTGCGACGCTGTCGCTGGGTCGCCTTGCGAATGTGTCGCATACGTGGTCGCACCACCTCGTGCAGCACAACGTGCTGCCGTCGCTCTGCAAAGCGCTCACGTCAGTCCTCCTCTTACTGAATCTATTTGAATGTGTTTTAGAATTCGGGGATTCGCCGGCCAGTTGATCTCTCTGCAAGCCTCTCACGTCAGTCCTCCAGCTTTGTCAATCGTTTCGTCACGTCACACCACGTCACGGTGCCTTGAATGTTTCATTTCCTGCGGTTCTCCTGCCATGTGCCACGCACGAGTGCGTCGCAACATGCTGGCTTCTTCATGCGAAGCACTCTCGTCGTTTCGTTCATCTTTCTCTCCCTCCAACCCCGCGACTTCCCCTCTCCTCTCCCTCCTCCACCTCTCGTCTTCCCTCTCCTCTCCCTCCACCTCTTGTCTTCCCCTCTCTTCTCCCTCTACCCCCAGCGGCACCAATCGCCACCACAAGCGCGCAGCAGCATATCTAGTCAAGGCCGTGTCGCGCCACGCTGGCGCTGAGCTGGCAGAGGCGGGCGTGCTGCCGTTGCTGACGGAGTGCCTTCTGGATGCCATGCTGGCGGTGCGGGAGACTGCTGCGTGCGCATTGGGCCACGTGGCGAAGCACAGCGGTGACCTGGCGATGAGAGTGGTTGAGACGGGTGCAGTGCGGTTGCTGGTGACATGCCTTCAGGTGGGGTTCACAACAGCATTGGGACCTGGTCAGCAGTAACTCATGCCCTCGTTCATGAATGACCTGCTCTTTCAAAAGGCTCATGCTTGTGCCAGACATTGCCTTTCTCATGCTCTCATTACCTCTCCACACGTCCAGCTTTCTGCCCTTTGCCCTTTCATCTCATGTCCTCTAATATATTGTCCCCATATCCCGTGTTCCTATACCTCTCATCTCCCATATCCCATCTCCCCATGTCTCATATCCTTATACCTCATGTCAGGACGAGGCTGTAGCGCGGATAGCCTCTCAGTGCTGACTGACGTGGCACGCCACTCGCTGCTGCATGCTACAGCCGTGGCCGATGCGGGCGGCATTACCGCCGCCGTCTCTCTGTTGGGATCACCTGACGTCAAGACAAGGCGTCAGGTGCTGTTCTCATATGCCTGTTGTTTTGAACGACTCGAACCTCGTCCCATGTATCCCATTGCCCACTCCCTGAACCCCTCTGTGATCACGGCTCCTTCTGCTCTGCACCACCACGCTTGCACCTTCCTTCCTCCTAACCCTGCACGTGCCCTTCACTTCTCTCTGTGCGCGACGTTTGCTCCTGTCCTCTTCTACACAAACGCTTAACTTTTGCATCTCCACGCACCCTTCTGCAGCTTTTTAACCGCTCTGCACCCTTGTGCCCCTTTCTGCTTCCCCTGTCTCCCACCCATCTGCACCCCTCTGCACTTCTTACAGGTCTGCGTCTGCCTTTCTACCATCGCCAGGCACTCTGAATCCCTCGCCCTGGTAAGCACTGCTCCTAACTTCCAAACCGTTCTGAACCGCCCTGAACTGCTCTCAGTCCCTCGCCCTGGTAAGCACTGCTCCTAACTTCGCAAGCCGTTCTGAAACTTCCAGAACGTTCTGAACCGCTCTAAGCCGTTAACCTTGGTACAGCATAGCCTCCTGTCTTCCGGCACGACTCGTTCCCCTTACTCATTCCAACCCTTCTCTACCCACCCGTCTCCCCCAATCCCTCTTTCCCCTCCCCCCCTCTTCCCATCCCCCTCTCCCGTTCCTCCTGTCCACTTTCCCCTCTGTCCTTAAAATACCCCGCAGCAAGTGTTGGACCAACCAGGAGCATCTCGCCTGCTGCTCTGCCTGCACGACTCATCCCCTTCCCTGCGGGCGTCAGCAGCAGCGGCGGTGAGGGAGGTGGCGAGGCAGGGACCGGCAGCAGCAGCAGGCCGGCTGGTGGGCATGGGGGGCATTGGGCCGCTGCTGGATGCTGTAGGCACGTGGAGGGACGAAGGGGAGGGGGAGGGCATGACCAAGGCTCCGCCAAGGTTTCAGGTCAGTGACTTCAGGCCAAAGGCTTGCGCTTCCCTTGTGTTCTCTCTGGAATCTCTTTGCACTCTCCTTAGGGGCATCAGCAGCAGCGACGGAGAGGAAAGGGCAGCAGCAGGCAGGCTGGTGGGCATGGGGGGCATCGGGCTGCTGCTGGATGCTGTGGGCACGTGGAGGGATGCAGGGGAAGGGGAGGGAGCAGGGGAGGGGAAGGGGATGACGAGAGGCTCTGGTAAAGTTTCAGGTCGGTAACTGATGTTTTTTTTTAATCCCTTTTTGTGGCCTCTTTTCGATCTGTTTGTGGTTGTCCTGTTCCATCTCCTTTATGTCCTGTTTGGCAATGCTGCGACCGACCGTCATGTTGCTTTCTTCCTTTGTCACGCATTGCCTTTAGACCTCCATGCACTTTCTCACAGAAGGCACTCACTCGCACAATCCAATTTCCAGCCCACACACACTCACATACCCTCCTCATTCCCCACCCACCACCATACCATTCCCTCCATCCTCCCTCCCAGTGGTGGTGGCCCTCGGCTTCCTCGCAGCTTCCTCCCGATGCAGCGCTGGCAGTGGTGGCATCGGACGGCATATCCCCGCTGCAGGATCTCATAGTGGAGGGCGACGCTGACGTCACCTCAAAGGGGCCTGCGCGTGTGGCGCTCTCCCAGATGGCTTCCCATGGGTGAGCGTGGGTGAGGACGAGTGGGATGTGAGGATGGTGAGGATGGGTGAGGATGCATAGGGAGGGTAAGGTTCG